TCTTACAAGGGGAAACAAAACCTCATAACAACAGAAAAACAGAAAAAAATTAAAGAAAACTAGGTATGAATTCCTAGGAAGAAGTTCCTCCTCCTCCTCCCACTGACTATGTAACCATACACAGATTTACACCACTGCTTTACTCTGTGAAAGAAGCTAAGTGCCACACAAGCAGTTCTAGTTCAGAGTGAATCATAGCTCAACCCTGTGCAGCCCTAACTTCTGCACACAGTTCTGCTGATAACACAATTTTATTTCAAAGCTTCTGTATATGCAATTCTGGACCTGGAAATTTGGCAAGACCTACTGATCAGGTTTAATTCAGTGTATAGTGGCAGCACTTCTGTGAGGAAAATAAGCAGAAATGTCTATCCATACAGGAGCTCATGCAGTTGTGATTCTTGCTATTCAGCAAAACCTGCTAATAAACTGGAGGTTATAATGACAACAAACTGGGAAAATCCGGACATAGAGAAACTCACTGAAACAGCAGCAACCCGACGAGGCTGCGTCACTCCAACAACTCTTCCTTCAGCTGTCCAGCCAGCTTCTGCTAGGTACTGCAAACAAATATGGAGGATAAGAAATGAATCAGTCACACTGTGATGACAGCAAGGTTCTCCACACTATGTGCTTCTCCCTGGTTCTGACACTAACTGGTGCATGACCTTGGGCAAATCAGTTACTTAGAGGTTTTGTGCATTATTAATCTCACCTTTAAAACCAATATAAGACAATACCTACTTCCTAAGCACATAAGCTTTCAGAAAGCACCTAAGAACGGTTCTTTGGGTCTCAAGTATTTCTGAACTACTTCATTTTTTTTTCCTCTTCTTTATTTTATAACTTCCTTAAGAAGAAAAACCTAAGCAGCACAAGTCCTCTACTCACGCTGAAGTAGATCACATTCATTACTAGTCTGCAATTTTAAGTTAAAATCAAGAACTAACTTTGAAGCATTCTCAGACTTTTTTCATTCCTGTCACAAAAATTTTACAAAACCACAAAAAAATACAGTAGTCTGAAAATTTCCAAGAGGAAAGCTTGTAAGAAAAGTGCACCTTTTTTTCCTTTTTAAAAACACGTTCTCAACAGATTTTTAAACTTTATTCTGATAGAGTAATGAACAACCATTATAGTGCAGTGACTATTATTTGTATCAGCATAAACTTATTTGTTGTGTATAATCCTTTCCTGTACTGGAAGAAGGTTTTAAGTTGCAGATATACCAGCTTATGCTATCTAATACGAAGCCCTCTGTTTCTCTCCTTTTGGTCACACATGAGCACAGGTGAATTCCATTTTCCCAGTGCAGTTCTGGGTCACAGGTTTAACGTTTCATATAAAATTCCCTGGGTTTACCAAGTTAAATAGACACTTACTTGTGGAATCTGCGTTGATTTCCCACAACCTGTTTCCCCAACAATCACCAAAGTTTGGTAATTCTCCACTAGATAAAGTATGTGATTTCTTAGCTGAAAGAGATGACAGCATTAAAGTGTCAAAACCAGACATGTACAGAAGTTAAAAAATACAATATTTACATATCTGACACAGTGAGCTTATTTTACATGGAGTTTACTACCAAAAGCTAAAGAGTTCTTTAAAAATTTACAAGTGACATGTACAACATATTCAAAGCAACATAAATCTACAAAGCCTTTAAAACTGTCAGTAACAGTTGTCAAACAGGAAAATCAGTTCCAACAAATAAAGAGAGCAAGGTCATAAAATTATTGTTCTATGTTGTAAAGTGATTCTATACAGCTCTTTCAAGAAAAGACATAAGAGGAAGACATTATACAATGGATTTAATATACCAAAAAGAACTTCTGTACCTTAAAAACAGGCAGCTTTTGTCTTTGTTGTTCAATAGAAAGTGAAGCATAAGGATTATAGATGACGGTTATGGCACTACTCTCAGCAGGACTCTGTCTCTCTTCTGAGATGCTGACACCAGGACCTTCTGTGCCTAGATAACATACATTAATTTTAACTGGAAGAATACACTTCTGCCTCATGTATCATAATACAACCAAAATAAATATGTTGCTTACAAGAAGGAATCATGGGTAGCAGCATGTATCAAAAGACTAACTTTTCTATGAAAATAATCAAAATATTAACTAACAGTAAACACATAGAAACTTTTTTAAATGAAATACATGTCTCTTGCTGGTGAAAAAAATATTTCATGTGAACAAGTATTTGAATTTTTTTAAATAAGATAAAGGAAAGAAAAAAGCACACAGGAAAAATATACAGCAAGATCTTGGGAACTTGATTCTTTTTCTGTGCAACAGTTCAGATATATCTTCAATATCCTTCTCTGAAGTATGCCCATGGATTTTAAGCCAGCCAGTCAGACATGTAACAGAAGGTCGCTTGGCTAACAAACTGTATAAATGTTCAACCTTGCCCACTCACAAGATGTGCCACTCACTTCAGATCCAAATTTACAGTAACTGACACTCTATTTACTACTACTGCAGGTTACCATAAAACTTCTGACAACCAAAAATGCCAAATCATGCAAGTGAACTAGAAATAAAAACTCATCTCAATAATGGAATTCATCACCTCCAGCTGCAGCTTCAACTGGGAAAGCCTGAGACCAAAGAGAAGGACTCTTCTCGTGTAGGATTGGCTTGCTTGTGCTTTCCCACTTTTTCCACTGTTTAAAAACAGTCCCTATTCAAAGCTGCCAAGCAACTAGTGTAGCAGACTGATCCAATTTTAAGAGTGATTAGCAATGATTCCAATAGCTATTCACTCCCCATGACAGATGGGGAAGTTAAGAACCAGGGACTTGAATACCTGGACCTTGACAGGTTGACAAATCAACAAAGTTAACAGATATTACTTCTCATCACTCACTGATTTTCTTTCACAGCATTTTTTGTTTCTTTATTTTTATTTTTTTAATAAACAACTGTCTTTATTTTTTAAATTTTTCTTTATTTTAATACACAACTGTCAATATATTACTATATATATATACACATATTGTATATACACATATTACTATAATATTCAAATTATTAAGAAGCTGTTTGCTAAACTAATCCTGACTCTGGAATAGCTTTGCAAACCACAGCATACCACAACACAGTGACTAGTTTAAAAAAATTACCAAACTCAGATCCACCAAACTCCTCTTTCAGATAAGTGCACAGGAAGGTATACAACTGCCCAAAGCCCAGGGGAGCAATCACAGAGCCACAGCACAGCGGAGGCTAGAGGGACCTCTGCAGACCTTCTCGTCCAACACCCTGCTTACCACAGGGTCACTTAGAGTGGGCTGCTCAGGTCTTCGTCCGGTTGGGTTGGAGACCCCACAACCTGCCTGGCTGCTTGTTCTAGAGCCCAAGCACTCCCACTGTGTGAGATGTGTCAGTCTGATTCGTGTTAAAATAATGTGGAGAAAATGGGGAAGATGCGACCTCTGTGACTATTTTGGCTGTCCTTGTACGGAGAACAGATTGAGAACAAGTAGAACAGAGTATATAGTTGTGTAAAACCCATAAGACGCCAGAAAGAAAAAACACTCCCTCAAAAGCGAGATAATACCAGTCCTGTGGTTTGAGCAAGAGCTAAGAAATAACTAAGTCTACGCAAGAAGAAAAAATTAACAAAGGTTACCAAGAGAACATCCTCTGCGACCCCCCCCCCCCACGACCACCAGCAAGGGACACTGCTCAAGCGTGGATGGGAGGAGAGCTAATTATAATATGAAGCGGGGATAGATCATGCATATGTATAAGCGTATTGTGAAATCCCATGAATATGTATTAGTTAAAGAAATATAAACCCCAAAAGAGACCTGTACGGCGTGCGGCTTGAGGGATCAGAAAAGGATTAGGACATTCTGTCCCCACGCACCCAGCGCTATTTGCTTGCCTTTACTCACTTAATAAACTGTAAACTTTAATTGGAATCCTGTTTGAGCCTAAATCATTTATCACACACAGTAGGAAAGGTTTTTCTCCTGTTTAAGCTGACTTTCTCCTATTTCAGCATGTGCCCAATGCCTCTTGTATTGTCAGTGGGTACTACCAAAAAGAATCTGGCTCCATCTTCTTCACACCCCACTATCAGATATTCGTATACACTGAAAAAATTCTCCTGAGGCTCCTCTTCTCCCAGCTGCACAGCCCCAGCTCTTAGCCTGCCCTTGCAGGTCACATGCTCCAATCTCTCAATCATAGTTGTGGCCCTGCTTCAGTAAGTCCACGTCTTCCTGGTGCTGGAGAGCCCACACAGCATCCCGATACGGCCTCCCCAGTGCTGAGGGGAAGGCTCAGATCCCTCATTAACAGCAATGCCCGTCACGCAGCCCAGGATGCCGGTGACCTTCTTTGCTGCCAGGACTCATCATGGCTCACGCTCAGCTTGCAGCCCACAGGACCCCAAGGTCCTTCTCTGCTAAGCAGCTCTTCCCGGTGTGCAGCACCTGGGGCGATTATCCCCTCAGCGACAGAGCTTTACACCTCCCTTCGTTAAACTTTTTGGAGTTCCCTCACGCGTTTCTCTAGCCCGTCGAGACCCCCGTGAAGGGCAGCACAACCACCCGCGAACCATCCATCCCAGCGGGTTGAGGGCGGACTCTGTCCCCTGCCCTGCCGCCCGCGGTATCGGGCTGCGCCCGGCCCCGGGGCAGAGGGACGGCATGTTCCTTCGCTGTCCTCGGCGTCTAAAACCCGTGCGACCCCCCAGTAGCCGACGGCTGCTGGAGGCAGCACCGCGGCTACCGCCAGCGGGGCGGG